CTCTTCCCTGTCCGCTCCCCCCGCCCCTCAATCAGCACTAACGAGTCCCAGGAGATGGTCACTGACACACAGCCACAAGTCCCCATGTCACTGGGTCTTTCCCAGACAACCCTGCCTTTGCTTTGTCTCAGGAACTTCCTCTCGCTCCCCCATAAACACACAAGATTGCCCTGAAAGCACAGGGCAGCAAATCCAGTGCTACTGCTGCTGCACCGGTGACTATCTCATCTGAAAACAGCTGCTGCCTTCTTCCACCTTCAGAAAACCCCAATTTCTTGAGAAACTCAACTTCTCCCAGGTAAGGCTGTCCTCTATCTCATGATCTGGACCAAAACATCTATTAAAAAAAAAAAAAAGGCAAAAAAAAAGCACACATCAAGAGCATCTGAAAGGTCCACAAATCAAAGGAAGGAAGAAAAAAAAAAAGGCAATATTTTATAATAATGATTTTTAAGGAAATCATATGGTTTGGGACCTCAATGAACGATTTGTGCATGCTTGAGTTTAATACTGTGACAGTCACAAAACTGGAATCCAAAAAAATCCACAAGAAATAAACAAGCCCATTGATGCAGCTAGAAGCCAAACGTGCTTTTGCAACGGGTGGGGCAGGTATCCAGCCGTACATTCTCTGGGTGCAAACTGCAGCCTCCATATGTAACCCCGCATGACCCTGTGTCTGTGAGGTCAAGAACGTACATTTATATTTTTGAGGCTGAAAAAAAGAGACTGCAGCTAAAGAAAATGTGGCTTTCAACGGTTAAAAAAACAAAACAAACAAACAAAAAAAAAACACCAAAAAAACCCCACCCAACCCCACGACCCCAAAAACCGCTGGATAAGAAATACAGTAGGGAGCTTTTATAAGCCACCTGGAATGGGATGTCTATTCCTGGAAGCTCCTCTTCGTGTGGCAGACCTCATGCATGCCATACGCCTGACCAACAAACCCAACCATTTCTCTTCCCCTTCCCCCCGAAAAACCACCACATTTAATGAAAACTCAAAGTGTTACAGGGCAACACACTTCTTGGATTAAACTGATCACCCATGAAATAACTGCGATGCGTTACTTTTCAAAGCAGAAGAAACATGTCTCTAGGAAATTTCAGGTTGTGTTTATTCAAATACAGTGGCTAAAGAGGAAGTCATAAAAAATGTGTAAGATACTCAGGAATCTGGCACTTTCATGAGTGCCTATATACTTTTTTTGTGTAATACAGGATGATTTGGGCAGATAAAAAATTAACCCAGGATTTTAGTTTTGGAAATAGTCACTAACAAAGCCCCCGCGCCCCAGGACAGAAGTGCAGTCCTGTACTTCCATTCTGGCTTTGACATTTTTGCCTGAGAGAGCGCTTCCTTCTAAACTATTTGCTATGGTAGCGATTAGACAAGGACTACAGACAGAAACTTCTTGCATTTGAGTGAGACAGCACAACGCATAAATAATGAAATTTAAAAAAAGACCTTGGAGCGAAAGGATACAGCACAACTTCACACAGACCATCTCTCGACTCTCCACGTAACGGTTTACCTCCGGTAGTTTTTGAGGCAGACTGGCACATCCAGGTAACCCATTCTGGTCTGGAAAAGGTACAATTCCCATCACCACTACCTTACGGTTTGTTCCAAAGCTTCCCCTGAAAAATCTCTGCTTGGTCTCTAAATATGTTCTACCTCCAAAGACCTGGCATGAGGCCCCGCACTGCAACTGCAGCACCGCAGACAAAGCCCCAGCAGACCTGGGTTGCCCTGGCCAGCCTCAGCCTCGGCTGGGGGGTCAGGCTCTGCTACCAAACCCTGGGAAAGGAGCCAGCACGCGGCCGATGGTCTGCCCGAGCCCGCTCCCTCCTGCCCCAGAGAGACGGGAATGTAAGGGAGGGAGGGACAGGTGTCTGTGATTTTCCACGGCACACCAGCTTTTGATGAAAATTGTCCCACGTATTCAGGAAGAGACCGAGGAGGTAATCAAATCTGGTTATCTCCAAATCGTTATGACCGGGTAGATTTTGGAGCCCGAGTTGTTTGTTGGAACCCACCCCTCCAGCCCTCACGTTTGAAATAGAACAGATGTGTAACATAACAGGAAAAAAATCCAGCTCTGTTGTGACAAATTCTTAACCCATTTTTTTGGAAAAGATTTAAAATAACATAGTTTCTGTTGCGTAGGCTGTGATCCTGTTGACGTCCATGCTCAGTTGCCCAGCACTTTCATATACATGAAACGAGAGGTATTTTCGGTGGAAGGAAGCACAGCCAGTGTATCTGATTGGTAAAATAACTTGAAATCACATTTCGACAGTAACTTCCAACTGCCCCAGAGCACGAGTTAATGAGATCACATGGAAACATATTGCGAACCAGGAAACATATTTTATACAAGACCAAAACAGTGGAAAAAAATGTTAAATACACAACGTAGCGGGGCTCCGTTTTGTACGCTTCACCTTTTCTTGTTTGTGTTAGCGCACAGGCACGCCGGGTGCCTCCCGACGGATCGCAGCAAAGCGCCTACGGGCTGCTTGCTGCAAGGGAAAGATAAAAGCCTGTTTGGTCAAACTGTTCTATTAGTGCCCTTGTAGTCTTCGGCAAAAAAGCAGCCCCCCGACGCAAAAGCCGAGGGCTGGTCTCTCTGACAAACGCGGGCTACTTCACACTCCAGTGGGAGAATGTAAAAGGGTTTTTTTAAGCATGCGGGAAGGCTCTGGAGGACTTCCCTGGTGTTAAAAGTCTCTGTCTCAGCTCAGAAAGGGAGCAAGTGCCTACATCTGGAGGGCTCGGCCAGACCCAAAGGGGTTGCTGCATCTCCCCGCACTGAACTGAGCTCCTGCAAGGAGCCGGGGCAATGCAGAGAGGAGGAGGAGGAGGAGATAGATGAGGAAGGGGACCACAGCACTACATGCTGTAACACAATGAGAGGAGCAGGGAGTTGGCTTCATGATCCTTACGGGTCCCTTCCAACTCAAGATACTCTATGACTCTATGACAAAGGGCCACAGACCGCTCAGTCACAGTTTTGGGAGACGGCATGTGGCAGAGAGGTGCTGGCTGGAGAAAAGTGAGACTGGCAAGGTTAAGGGTCAGGGAATGTGTCGCTAACAAAAACATTTCAGCTACATGCTGTCGAAAGCAAGAAGCCAGGCATGCCTGGGGAGGAGGAGGGCGGCCATCACAACCAGGGACTGGGAAGAGCCTGCAAACTTTGGAAAGCCAAACTTTTCCTGCACCACATGCTTCTGAGTGGTGCCTTCAGCAGACTTCAAAATAAAGACCATAACTGAGACCAAAAGAGAAAGCAATGGATGGAACTCAAATCCTGGCTATTCTCTCGTGCTTCCTACTCAGAGTCCTCTTGTGATAAATAAATGTGGCGAGTATATTGACTATTATCAGCTGACAAATAAGGTTTTCTTCTTTAAACATAAAAATGGTGGGGAAGGGGGAAAAAATAAAATCCCTGTCCAACACAGACAGGAAAAGAAGATTGATAAGCAACTTTCAGATGAAGTGAAGGAAAAGCTGAAATAATGTACAAAAAACCCCATAGTCCTGTTCTGTTTGTACTCACTGTCTACAAAGTGTAAATGTAAAAAGCCACGTAATAGACACAATGATGAGAACATCTCCTTGTCCTGCAATAAAAACCACACTAAGACATGATGAACGATTTAAGTAAAGCCACAGGTCTGATGGCACCAAATTGTCCTGCTGCCTGACGAGTTTCTGAATACCCCGTTTCCAGACTGCCTGGGCTTCCCCTGGGCAGCAGATAACCAGTTAAAACCCCCACACAGCCAGCTCCTAGAACAGCCTCTTTAACCCTTCAAGGCTTTACTCTTGGTCACACCACACCAACAACAGAGGCAGCATCACAAGGTACGGCTAAGGAGAATGAGTGGATGGGCAGAGACAGGAAAGGGAAGGAGGAAAGAAAAGCATGCAATAAAGATACTACCAGGATTGTGCTCTTCAGTTGGGTTCCTTACCTCATGTAGGATGTTGGAGACAGAGACTTTGGTTTGGCCCACTGGTAGGGATGCTGTGGCACGGACAGGTACTGCTCACAGAAGTTTCCTTTCCGGATGTGCTGAAAGCTGGAGAAGTCTTCTGGTGACAAATCGGCAGTTGGCGATATGGTCCCATGCTCCTCGCCAGCTGGTTCTGTTTTGAGAGTCATGGACGGGGTGTGGTCAATGGCAGTCTTCCTGGACTTGATGGGAATCCCGTCATTCATATCTATGGTGCTGTCAGTGGTGAGGGCGTTGATGGCGGCGACGATGGCGGAGCTGGTGTACTGGTTGGTGTTGCCCAGCCACGTCTCATCCGTGACGCTCACCCGCGGCGAGTTTTGCGGAGAAGGCGTGGGGGAGTGGTGCGGGGAATAGGAGGTCTGCCGGCCGTTGAGGCTGTACTTTCTCTTGTTGCAAGGCGACGGAGGCCTGGAGTTGCGAGCCCCCAGCCAGTTCTCCTCCGTGATGCTCGTCCTGGGAGACGTTGACGGAGAGTGCCTCGGGGAACTGAGCAAAGTGCAGGCCACCATGCTGCGTTGGTAGCCCTCCTCTGTGTCGGTGGTCTTCGGAGAGACACACGGGGACTGCCACGGGGAGGTCTGGGGTGAAGTGTATGGATACGAGTAGTTGGACTCATAGGAAGACGCTTCAGAGTTGCAGCTTCTGGAAGACAAGCTACTCGCTGGACTCAGGCAGGAAGGGTCTCTGTAGGCCTCGATGTTTGGTAAGTTCAAAGTGGCAGTGGAAGGCGACCGCTTGGCATTTGGGATGGCCTCCTCAACCTCATCATGGAAAAACTGGTTGTTGTTATGATGAAGTCCCATGTAAGAAGTGATCTCAATTCTAGGGCTCTCCAGCGCTGGAGCTCCGTTAGGTCTGATGTTTGGCGGCAGGTAATACTCGGAGGCCCCGCTGTCCATGTGTCCTCCATATCCAGAAGGATGGTTTGTCGATGGGACAACTGAAATGACGGGATTTGATGCCTGAAGGCCATGACATGGATTTGACAATGAGGAATGCGCCACATTTAGAGGCAAGCCAGCATTTACGTTTGAAGATGTATAATTATAGTGTTCTGGAAAAAAAACCAAACAAGAATGATATGAGGCGCTGCACAAATACACTCAGTAACATACGCAGCTGGAGCAGAGGGACATGGCACGACACACAAAAGCACAAGCTCTCCTCAGCAACCCAGCCCACAGGCATGCCATGCTGGGGGACAAGCTGCAGGCTAGCATCCTTGAAAATGCCACTAACTGAACAGCACAGGACAAGCTATCTTGGGAGGGGGATGTACAAGGACTGAGTGTGTCTTGAGGATGCTCTTCTCAGCACTCACAGACTGCAGTGCTACTCAAGAGACGTGTTTTTACATGTGAGCCTCATTCTCTCCCTGAAAAGTTGGAATATGCAAAAAACACAGGACAAAAAAACAAAAGTGGAGGCAGACTAAAGCAAAGAACTTCATCAACTGCATTCTGTTAAAAAAACTATACACAACCGAAATTTCCATTACAGCAAGTTTCCAACTGGTTCCTGTTAACTAGGATTTTGGAACAAGACGGATCTATTGACCTGCTCTGGTTTCTGGGACCACTTATCCTCCAGCCCAACTGGCAGAGGCCAGGTGAAGGATAAACATGGATGTCTCACTACTCCGCGACAGCGGAAATTCCACTGAAATTGCTGGTTATTGCACACGCCACGTTGAGCACTGCCAGCAGCATGCTCTCGGCCAACGGTCTAACCAGATAACAGCTCCGGGTGAACAGAAGCAATAGCAGAGTTGCACAGTTGGTGTGGAAAACCTGGCAGGTGACAGATCCCATCACAGACTTGCGCCCATGGGCTCCCTGACCCAGCGCAGGGGAACTACCCGCCCTTCGCATGCCTCCATCCCTGCTGCGCTACGGGGACCAACGTCTTGCAGCTGGTCTGCAGGAGACCATCCCTGCCTCGTCTCATTGTCCCCCTGCTGAAGGGACGCCTTCAGCTCTGCTGCCCCGTCCCGGGGCTGCATACGTGTGTCTCTGCCACCCAGAGACACGGGTGGGCTGTGTGCGGGGAGATGGGCAGCCCTCGGCCAAGGGCAGTGGGGCCCTGGCGCTCGGAGCAGTGGTGGGATCGGAGTCATCCACCCACCCCGTGCTCTCTGATACAGAGATGCTCTGCATCACCAGCACACATGGGCCAGCACCTCTTGGGGAAAAGACAGCAAAATCTTTCTATCAAGGACAATAGCCGCTGAACTTTGACTCTGAGTAACGCTGTTCTGCAGGTTCCTCTCAGCAGCTTGGAAATACACCCAGCTCCAGCCCCAGGCTGTGCTCGCAGCACATCAGCCTTCCCCCAGGTTTATCCCAGCAGCGGCACTTTCCTGCGGGACAGAGGGAAACGGCATCCTCCCCGGCCACAGCAGGACTGCCCGGGGAGCCCGTCCCCTTCCCTCCCGGGAGGCCAGCTCCCTTGGCAGTCACCCTTGCCCACCTTCTCCAGGGAGACAGGGAAAAGCTGTGTTAATGACTGCAGCCGTATTCCCACCCGACCCGCTCCCTGGGAGCGCTGCAGATGCAAACGAGCCTGTGAGCTGGCAACACCAGTGCAGCCAGCTATTCTCTTTCCTTTGTTTATCAGTTCAAGCCCTATCTGGTGTCATCCTCCGGCGATCCCGCGCTCAGCTTTCTTGCTGGCAACGACTCCAAGGCAAACTGTGCTTGGGGAAAATTAACGTGCTGTCACAGTTTCACAGCAGCTCTGCGATGCTGCAGCTGATGTATGTCATGCCAGGTAACGGGGACGATGGGCAACACCACCTTCTGAGCTCACTCCCTAGCCTGCCTTCAGAGCCCGGCCATTCGCTGAAGAAGGGTCATTAAATTACACCGGAGCGTGCCACAGACACAACTGGGTTATTCAAAACACGCTGCAACTTCACACTCTACTCAAACAAGGCAGCAGGCAGGAACTGTGGAGAAAGAAGCACTACTTGGACAAGGATAATCCCACTGCCATCGTAACAGCGAGGTGCAGAAAAAACCAGAATCCCCTCCTTCCAAAATTTGTCTCTTTTTGTTGCTGCCCTGCCACATGGTCACGCCGCTCAGTGTCACTGCAACCACCACCACTCCCCTCTCACTCTTCACAGAAAAAAAAAAGGTGGTACAACAGTGTTAAGATCTTCCCCGTTTCAGAAATCATCTCAGAGAAAGGGTCTACGCAGTGCCTTCAAGGCAGCTTCAACCCCTTTGCTGCTTCCTCCAGCTCCAGAGGAAGGCGATGTGACGTCCCCAGCACTGTGCTGCTGCAGGGACACCAGCTGGGCTCTTCTTCCATGTATGCCCCAGGGGCCCTTCCACAGCCTCCTGGCCTGGTGCCGCAGGTGGATGGCGCTGGGGACATGGCACAGCCGGATGACGGCACCTCCAGCGCGTCCCCACCGTGCAGCCGGATGCCCCGGGCAGGGGACCATGGGTTCCGCAGGGTGCCTGGCACTGCACCCACCGGGTGGGCTTCGGAGATGGGGTGAAACAGCAGCATCTGCTGACTGCAGGATCAGTGCCTCTAGGTCTTTTATTAAAAATAAAGAGGCAAACAAACAAAATAGCAAAAAGTACAGCAGTTCTCTGAAAATCTTACGCATGAAATTCAAACACTGAAGTCTGCTGGAGCCCAAACAGGCAGTATAAAGGTTGAGACGAGCCTTTGGAATACAGTTTTTTTTTTTTAAATAATAATAATTTAAAAGACAGCATCAAGTGCTCCAAGCAACAAGTTCCCTTAATGCACGTGGCAAGGTATAGCCTCTTTGAGAACTACAATACGTATTTTTAAAAAGTCAGCTTTTAAAGGGCCAAGAAAAATAACACATCACACAACTTCTCACACAACAGTACTCAAAATTGAACAAAGCAAGATCCAAAGCCTTACAGATACGTTTATAAATTAGATAAATTTTATATGTGTGCATATATATAAAATATCTTGAATTTTCAGGCAGCATGCAGCAAGTACACCCACAGAACACAAAATCCCCAAAAGCCAGAACTAGGAAGAGGACTGAGTCTGTGGTCTGTGAGCTAACAAACGCTAGCTACCATTTCTGAACAAGTACACTCCTCTCCACAACTTGTGCATTTACAGCACCCACCAAATGCACATACCCAGCATTCACAACACGCTGATGGTTTCATCACCAGGGTGAGTTAGGCATGTAGAACTCAAATGCCAGTCTTGAGGGCCAGGAGACAGAGGTGGCTGCAACGGCACGGAACTGCACCACCCAGTGCTGCTGTGCCGGGGGTTTTGCCAGCGCTGGTAGGGACGGCAGGCAGGGAACACCCTAACATGGAACGGCTGTGACAGACACACAGGCCCCCAGGACCCGTTCACTTACTACCAAGACACTTTCAATAGCGTATTTTAATATCTCAAGCCAAACACCAGTATCAGATAGACCTGTGCAGGTCTGCAACAGTTCTGTTCCAACAGATCCACGCTTACATTCAGTATAACTAGGACAAGAAATTGGACCCCTTGGTTTGTGAGCAAATATCACATTTCACTTTGTGACAAACATAAAAAAAAACCTCATAATTTTTTGCCCCCCAAGTTAATTTCACAGAGCAAAGGTTTTCTTCCTTTTTCTCATCAATGGGCCAATCCTGTGAGGCACTGAGCACCATCAGTTTTTACTGACAATCTTTAAAGGGGAATGCAGAACACCGGCAGCTCAGAGGGGCTCCAGAGCAGGTGAGGGCTATCTTACACTGCTGAAGGTGAAGCCACGTCCAGGTCCATGTCTGAATTCATGTGTTCAGAATTGCCTAATGGAGGTGGGTACTCTTCTCACTCTGACGTTGACAATTTGCTTAGGCCCCTCTGCTTTCCAGGTGTCTAATTACTAGAACATTCATAGGAAAAGCTTGGTGTGAAACTCTTAAAACTCATTTTTCTGAAAACTGAGAAGCTCCTATAAACTATTTAGGCACTGACAATGCGCCGGAGAGCTGGGCAGCTGGGGAACACTAGGAAAGGGAGCACTACACCTTCACCTGCGTCCTGGTAGGCTGCAAAATGCTTCAACGTAAAGGCAAAAGAGGAAGCACAGCCCCAGCCAGCCTGACTCTGAGGATGTGTTAAATCACCCACTTGCACGAGAGCCTTTCATGGTGCCCAGCTACCACCAACGCCGCGGCAGTCATCCTCACACCAGGAAACGACAACTTTCTCTGTGTCAATTCCAGACTTGTTCAACCCCATTTCCACCTCAACTATTGTTCAAAGTCATAAAAAAGCCAGCTGGACCGAGATACCAGAGTTGGGAGCGGTGTGACCCCTGATAAACTCAGGCCCGTTATTTTTATTTTCGGATGACCTTCAAGCTACACCCTGAGCCCAACTACCTCCAGCTCACGGGGCTTAGCGAGGGGGGCAGAACTGGTTCTTGATCTGGCCCATCTCTGCAATGGGCAAGACCCTGATCCCCCCACCACC